CCAAACCCTAAACCCCAAACCCTAAACCCTAAACCGCGCCCTAAACCATAAACTACCTTAGGCCTCCCTAAGCCACCCTAAGTCGCAATCCCTGAAACTCCCCTCAGCCCTAAACCCTAAACCCTAAACCCTAAACCCGAAACCCTAAACCCTAAACCCTATCAGACACCCAGAAACCACGAGACCTAAACTGTGCAAAAAACCCACAAACTCCAAACTACCCTCAGCCCTAAATTACCTCCAAACTACCCCAAAACAACCCTAAGCCACCCTAAATCACAAGCTCTAAACTACTAAACTGCCCTACAAACCTGACCCTAAACCCTAAACCCTAAACCCCAAACCCCAAAAACCCTAAACCCTAAACTAAAACGCCGAAGTCACCCCGCTAGGAGCCGCACCGTGTCGACGGCCTGGCGCCAGCCTGCCACCACCTCTCAGCTTGGAATCCCCGCGGCTTTGGGGCGGCGGATGCTGAAACTGTGTTTAAAGGTTTCAGGGTTAAGGGTTCAGGGTGTATGGCTGGACCTTGGGAGATTTTGTATTTCCCTTGTTGGGTTTAAACAGATGGGAAGGATACGGGAATGGAGAGCCCAAGAAAGGCCCATGGTTTGGATCGCAACCCCTACATGCAGGCTCTAAACCCTAAACCCTAAACCCCACCAAGAAGCCCTAATCCCTAAACCCCGTGCACCAACAAATCTTAAGACTGCAGTCCTTATTTTGGGAACCTCCCCCCTAGCCTCCCCCTAAACCCTAAGCCACTAAACCCTAAACCCTAAACCCTACTCCCTAAGAAATTGGAACCTCCAAACAGGCCAACGCACAGGTCAATCTACCCCAACCCTCAAAAAGTAGGTGCCGGACGCTCCCATACCGATGTCGCAGCAGCTCACGAAACTGACCTCCGGCCAGGGGTAATACTGGGGTTATTTGGGGGCTACTGAGTCTTTTTTGGGACTACATAAGGTATGTATAGTAATAGGGGTTATATAAGATTCAGGGTCCTTTCTAGGCTATTGTGCTCGAGCTCTAGGGCCTAAACCCTAAACCCTTACTAACGTTGCATTTTGAATTCGGTGGGAATTATAAAAATCGGCGGGCCCGGGGATCCCGCTCCAAGACTACTTTCCATTACGGGAGGTTTGCCAGCTGATATGTCTAAACAAGGCTATGGAAGGGGGCTCCGGTGAAACAAAAATGGGGTGACATTTGTCAACTTGGCTGGCCAGAAGTCGAAAATCTTACAGAGAAAAACAGCCAGACAAAGTCGCGGTCGCAGAGCAAAACGAGCTGCAGCAAAACCCCAAAACCCCAAAACCCCAAAAACCCCAAAACCCCAAAACCCCCAAAACCCCCAAAACCCCCAAAACCCCCAAAACTGCCCAAGCCCTGAAACGATGCTCTGGGCATCCGACTGACGGCCCGCTTCCTCGCCAGCTCTTTGTAACGCTGCTGCAGCGCCTTCTTTCAGTCTTAAGGTCTGAGGTTTAGGGTTTAGAGTGTAGGTTCTAGGGTTTGGGGATGTAGTACTGTGCTCCAAAAAGTGTAGAGGGTCTGAGGTTTAGGGTTTAGGGTTTACGGATGTAGTACCGTGCCCAAAACATCTAAAGGGCCCGTAAAGGGTTTGGGGATGTAGGACTGTACCCAAAAGTGGAAAGGGTCTGAGGTTTAGGGTTAAGGGTTTGGGATGTAGTACCGTGCCCAAAAAGTGCAAGGGTTGAGCGTGCTTAGTGTGCCAACAAGGTTTAAGGGTCTGAGGTTTGGGTAGTTTCCTAAATTTAGGATCCCTTTTTGGGTACCCATTATAAGGTGGCACCCTCTAAAAGGGATCCCAGAAAGGGCCCTAAACCCTAAACCCTTATAATCCCTAAACCCTAAACAGAGAACTGCCCATTTCGTGTTTAGGACCAAAGAGGGGTTCAAGACTCAGAGTCTCATACTCTTGCTAGGCCTAGTCTGCTTAAGGAAGTTAACCCTATACTAAACCCTCAACCCTCAACCCTCAACCCTCACCTCAACCCTCAACCCTCAACCCTCGACCCTCAACCCTCAACCCAAAACCCTAAACCCTAGTAGGGTTTGTAAGGGGCCAAAGGTACGCACAGCCCCCCCGCCCTCCCCAACAAAAAAACAAAAACACTGCTTACCTGAGCACGGAATTCGGAACCATTCCCCCTGGGAAAGAAACAGGAACCACACCATTCCTTGCATCCCTGAACCCTAAACCCTCAAGCCTCAAACACCCTACCTCCCTGCTAAGAGCGAGTATTGTTTTCTTTTGTGTTGGGGGGTGGGGGAACCCTAAACCCTAAACCCTAAACCCTGAACCCTAAACCCTAAACCCTAAACCAAAAACCCTAAACCCTAAACCCTAAGCCTAAACCCTAAACCATAAACCCTAACCGATAGACCCTCAACCCTCAACCCCTGTGTTGGGGGGGCGAGGTGGGGGGTCTTCAGGGCTTTGGGTGCAGCGTAATCCAGGGACCACGAGTAGCCGAAGTATTAGGTCCCCGGAAGTGTACGAAATCATAGGGGTTTAGGGTTTAGGGTTTAGGGTTTAGCGTTTGGGGGGGTATAAGAGTTGTAGGATTTATAGGGCTTTGCTGAAAATGTGGAAGACGCTTCGTTCCAGCGTTGGCTTCCAGTTCGTGTCTTGTGAAGAGTCTTGTGGGTACAGTAGTTGAAGGCATACTGTAGATTTAGATTTCAAGGCTTAAGGCTTTGATATTCGCTCTGCCTCTCCCTCTCTCTCTCCCTCGATTGCATCACAACAGTTCGCGGGGGCTTCCTGTGGATGTACGGGACTTAGGATTTAGCGGTGACGTCCACAGCGCGATAGTCCAGCACTTGCAGTGGAGCCCAGAACAGGACTGCCCAAAAAAACATGCAAAAGACATTTCTCTGGGGGGGGGGGGGGGGAATAACCCTTACAAGGATCCATGTACCTACAGTATAGGTTTCGGCCTTAAAAGGGCTGCCCTATATAGTAGCTTCATAAGGGCCAAAGTAAAGAAACAAAAAAAGGTACATGGTCATTTCTCAAAAAGATGGCCCTTTTTTCGGTACCCAAAAATTTTCGGGGCCGCCTTAGAATAAAGACCCCAAAGGGATTATAGTTTAGAGATATGACCAGAGGCATCCGTAGGGTAAGAGTTCAGCTTCACCCTAAACCCTAAACCCTAAACCCTAAACCCTAAACCCTAAACCCTAAACCCTAAACCCTAAACAGCTTGGCACACTTCGACATCCGCCTTTGTGCGCGCACTCTGCTTGCTCTCCAGGGCCTACCCTAACCGCACTTTATACCACTTAATTCGGGAATATACCCTACCTTATAACCCTTAATTAGGGAATATACCCTACATTATATGAGGGATCCCTGTATAACTCAGGGTCTATTCCTGAATTAGGGAATATACCCTACATTATATTAAGGATCCCCTTCATCATTTAGGGCATTTTACCCTAGCTAAGGGGTATAAAGGGCTCCCCCCGGACTTCCTCCATCCATGCTGCGATGTGGAGCGTCGCTGAGGCTGCCCGGACGAAAGGGAACAACACTTAACTGGGTTGGCCTTTAAGCCCCTTGAAAAATATCTATATATATATATATCTACATATATATATATATGTAGGGCCCCTTATAAACCGAAATAAGAAAATATGAATTTTCCAAATGCAACCAAGTTAAATGGTAAGTGCTTGGGCCAAAAGGTGGACGACCCCCGTGAATCTGCAAGAAGGAGCAGCAAGAATTCCATCGACGCTCCAAAGCACCGCAGGACAGACCACAGGACGCTAAACCCTAAACCCTAAACCCTAAACCCTAAACCCTGAACCCTAAACCGCAAACCCTCCCTCTCGTGGGCCTCGCGTGCTTGCACGCGCTCCTCGTTCTCGATGGGCTTGGAGCCATTCGCTTGCGAATGCAGCATGGCATGAACGGTCGAAGGCGCCAGGAGGCGGGGACCTACTCTGACTTATTGGCTGCTGGCAAAGACTTAAGGAATGGGATTGGGTGTTCTAGGCCCTTGAAGGGACCCTGTGTAGCCGACTGTCTAATTTCGTACACGGAACCGGTAAGCTGAAGGGCAAGGGGGCTGCCGGCGTGATGCGGTGGTTGGGCTGGAAGGTGGGGTTGGTGGGCTTGGGGTGGGTTTACCTCGCTTTCGCAGCAAGCATTTGTGTTCTTTTGCCTCTTCTGGGTCTGCTAGCTTCTATCTACTGCTGCATTGTCTTGAGCACATCGTTTGCCGGAGAAGGTCTGCAGGACAGGGTATGAAGATTGCAAGCCACAACACATGTACAACCCGATTGCAATCCGCCCAGCCGGAGTTCTTCAACAGTCGTAGGTTTGCTGTAGAACCATCTCAAAGGGAGGTTTCGCCAAGAATCTTCTCCTCGTCGTGGGCACACACACTAACTTTTTTCCGCTTCTGCGGCAACAGCAAACGCAACAGCCAACGCAACAGCCACCACAGCCGCCGCCACCGCCACCGCCGCCGCCACCACCACCACCGCCGCCGCCGCCGCCGCAAACACCACCACCACCACCACCACCACCACCACCACCACAGCGACAGCCACCAGCAACACAACGACGACAACAACCAAGACAACGACGATTACTGCTCGATTATGGAGCTTTTGTTCCACAGCGTTTGCACACGGAACGCAACAAGACTTTCTATTGCTTCTTCGTTATTAAATGGGTACACTCCACATTGTTTTACAAGCTCCGATAAACTGTTTACCGAACCAGCGTGTTGATACAACCCCACTTCTACCACTTCGACGGCTCCCGCGACCACTGCGACTACTGCGACTACCTGTTACTGCTGGAAACCTACCGTGAAACGGCATGTAGACTCCCGGACCTATCAGTAGTAGATGCATGCCTTTGAACCCTAGACCCTAGACCCTAGACCCTAAACCCTAAACCCTAAACCCTAAACCCTAAACCCTCCCGGAACCGCTCATTTTCGGCTGTGGTGCTATTTCGGCAGGCGCCCTGCGCTCCGAAGAACCTGTGCAGAGGTCTGTGAAACCACCCCACGCTGCTCCCTACAACCGGAAGTGGTTAGGGTTTAGGGTTGAGGGTTTAGGGTTGAGTGTTTAGGGTTTAGGGTTTAGGGCTTTCCAAGAAAAAGCACGAATCAACAGGGTACCGCTGCACTACAACCATGGCAAACATCGTGAATATTCTACAGGATGACTTCGGTAGTCGCTGCTGCTTCTCTTTACTGTTGGTTAGTAGGGAATGAGGGAATGAGGTGCCCCATATCCCCCTATATGTACCCTGTAAGGGATTCTATAGTGTACCTCATTCCCTCCTTCCCTACTAACCAGCAGTAAGTCTCCCCAAAGAGCCCTTTGTACCCCTGAATTCAGGAATTCTCCTTAATCGTAATCAGGGTGCCTTTAAAAAATTAAGGTATAGTCCCTTAAACCCTAAACCCTAAACCCTAAACCCTAAACCCTAAACCCTAAACCCTAAACCCTAAACCCTAAACCCACATTTTGCCTAATTAAGGGATATAAAGGGTTCTCTGGGTCTCTTACCCACAAGTTTTAGGATGGCCGTGTGCCAAGATAAGCTGTTGCAAGCGTAGTGGCGCGGCAACAACTCCGGCATGTCAGGCTGGGACTACTGGTTTAGGGTTTAGGGTTTAGGGTTTAGGGTTTAGGGTTTAGGGTTTAGGGTTTAGGGTTTAGGGTTTAGGGTTGAAGGTTTAAGGTTTAGGGTTTAGGGTTTAGGGATGATTTAGGGTGTCTGTCAGTACCTTCCTCACAGGATGTGCGGGAAGCACTTGGAAGCCCTTTTCACCTAGTACTGTAGGGTTAACAAGGTGGGCTCTGGGGATTGTAAGAGGGTTTCTAGGGGATACCAAGTCGACTTGCCAGTTCAGAGCTTTTAACCTGGTGTTAACTGTGGGTCGTGGCAAATCCATGCCTGAACCGAAGGCAGACAAATCTCGTCCCTCCCGCCTCGAGCACTATCGGATGTGGCTTTCTCAGCCTTCGCAAAGGGCTACGAACAACCCTACACCCCAAACCCTAACCCCTAAACCCTGCTCCTGAACCCTAGACCCTAGACCCTAGACCCTAGACCCTAGACCCTAAACCCTAAACCCTAAACCCTAAACCCTAAACCCTAAACCCTCCTAAATTTTCTTCGGTGCGGAACTTAACTTCGGTTGCCCCAACATCCTTGCTCTTTAACGTCCCTGACTCGGATGAGGCTTCGTGGAGTTTGTTGAACCTTGTGAGCTTCAGCACTTTCCAAGGATTTAGGGTTTAGGGTTTAGGGTTTAGGGTTTAGGGGGTTTAGGGCGCGGCTTTCAAAAGTAGGATGCGTTGGAGTCCTTCAAAGCGGATGCTAGCATCAGTACCCCAAAATCTGCCCCCCCCCCCCCCCCAGCAGGGTACCAGGATGATGCCCTGTGGAGAAACACCGCGCCTCTCTGCCCAAAAGCTGTCACTAAAGCTGTCAACCTAGCGTTCCAGGTTAACGACTGAGAGTTTTGGGTTTAAAGATCTAAGGTTTCAAGCTCTTGCTCGGCGCTTGAGGATACCTTCGACCGACCGCGACGTGCTTCCCCTAAACCCTATAAACCCTGTCAGCCCTGACCAATCCCCAACTAAACCCGAGCTAAACCCTAACTAGAGCCGAACTAAACACTAACCCATCCCTAAATAAACCCGAACAAAACCCCAACTAAACGCAACCGAAACCCTACCTGAACCCGAACGAAACCCCGACTAAACCCCAAACCAATCCCTAACTAAATCCGAACTATACCCGAACCAAACCCCAACCAGTAACCCAGGATTAAAAATGGTACCCTTTTTTGCTTAAAGGGTTTGCAAGGGAACCTAACCCCCCCAAAAAGGGAATAATGCCACTACTGGGCATCCTAGCAAAGCCGAGCTGAACCCTAAACCCTAAACCCTAAACCTTAAACCCGGGGCCCCGGCGCATCCTCTGGAAGCTTTGTCAGAAGATGTTGGATCTCGCTGCAACGTGTTGGGGGTGTCGGGGTAAAGGGCTGAGAGTTGAGTTGAGGGTTCAGGGTTCAGGGTTCAGGGTTCAGGGTCCAGGGTTTAGGGTTTAGGGTTTAAGGTTTAGGGTTTGGGGTTTAGGGTTTGGGGTTTGGGGTTTAGGGTTGCCCAAAAGTCGCTTTGGAAACCTGGTGGATTGGGTCTAGGAGAATCCACACAACTCTCGACATCCAGGCCTTAAAAGCACAAAGGTCAGCCAAAAAAATCTTACTTGGAGGTTCAGGGTGCTTATATCCCAATTTGAAGTGTAGTTATATCCCACCTAGAAGCCCCTTAAGTACCCTAATAGGGTATGACAGGGTTATAAGTGCAGTGTGCAGTCACAACTGGGTGACTAAGTACCATGAACCTCCAAGTAGGCTAGACCATAAACCCCAATAGCGCAAACAAGCGTACGACACTCACACCTGCAGGCCCCAACCTAATCTCTCGATACTACCTAAACAAGCAGATCGGAGCTAATTAGTCGATGCAGACCACAGATACACAACCCTGAACCCTAAACCTTAAACCCCCGCCCCCCCGCCCACGCCTTTAGACATGCTCCCCCGCCCCACATATCCGAAGCTCCAGCCAGACAGCCATCAACGGCAGGGGATTCATAAGCCTCTACTACTACCATGTTCAGCAATGTCTTTCGACTGGCATAAGACAGATAGCGCTCTCTGTTGGCCTAAACCCTGCATCCACCAGACTCCTTCTTGGTATGCTGGCTGAGAAATCGGCCAAATCGCACACAAGCCGCTCGAGTGGGGTTGTGATTCCTGCAGCATGAATTCCGAGGCTGAACCTAGACACTTACCACTAAACCCTTGCAACCCTAAGAATACCAAACAAGCTCTAAACCCCGAAGCACGAAACCCTTAACCCATGCGGTACGCTGAAGCCGAATCAAAACAAAAACGCTCCAACCGTGAATCTCTAAAGCCTAAACCCTAGTCTACACAATTATCGACACTATCGCGTCCTTGGCCTTTGGGAGTGTTACCCTTTTGTTTTCGTCTCTTTCAGACGAAGCATACTTAGGCGTACTTGACCTAGACTGTAGTGGCTACGGCTTATCAGCTCTTTGTCATGCGATCCGCTGGCCGCCTTCGCATGAGGTAGGAATAGCAACAGGGCGGAGGGAGAGGGGTAAGTCGGAGTTAAAGCGTGAGCTTTGCTATTCGACATGCTGCAGATGCCCAGTAGGCTACACGAAGCCCGCGTTCAACCCTTTCAAACACATCGACCATGCTTAACTTTCTTTCGCCGCCATCATATCGCGCGCGTGACCATCCGAAATTGTGCTCAGAATTCATGATCGACCCTTATCATGATTGTTGCCGTTCTTCCTTGAAGTATCATCTTCATCGGCCTCAGCATCTTACTTTTCATCGCAACTTCGCCTGCTAGGGCTGCATCCTATGCAGAAGTACACAGACTGAACCCTAAACCCTAAACCCTGAACCCTGAACCCTAAACCCTGAACCCCAAACCCTAAACCCTAAACCCTAAACCCTAAACCCTAACCCTAAACCCTAAACCCTAAACCCTAAACCCTAACCCCGCCTGTGAGCTTCTCCAGCTCGGTGTTGAGGTAGGCAAAGTCCTCATGCGGTTCGAGGTGAAAACGTGCCAACGAAAACTCTCACCGCGTGCTTTGGACTGCCCGGGGTTCGAAACATGTGGAGGATACATGTGGAGGATTCAGAGTCTAGATCCTAGCATGAAAGGCGCCTGAACTCAACACGAATGCCCGCCGTGTGTACCACAAACCCAGCAAGGCATCAGGAGTGCGGCACTGGATACCTCTTGACCCCTAAACCATAGCCTTCCAATCTTCTTCGACGACTCAACCTCGCAAACCCGGCCCAAGCCCCCCGGATGACGTGCCCAAACAAAAAAACAACAAAGATAAAACGAGTTTGCAACAATGAGAGCAACCAAAGCATTGATGATAAGTCGAGTCTGCCAATTGGTCGTATGATACGTAAATAGCATCTTAGCATAACTCAATATTAAAACAAAAGCATGTCTGACAATCTGCTAATAGGAGTCTTGTTTACAAAAAGAAAAAAACAGCAAGTGGGACTTACAAAATGCATGGCAACATCTCATGAGTAAGAATAGTAACCAAAATCACAGGCATCCAAAGTAACAAAAACAGTCATAAAGACCCCCCCGTTTTAAGAGTTTTTAATAGGATAGTACCCCCATTAGAATCCCCATTAAGAACTGTTAGTACAAGGGGGAAAATCCCAACAAATGATCGTAATGATCCCCTCGTCCCAGGGTGCACCTGAAGCCCTGCAGAATGCAGCGCTCACTATCACCATACCGAAAGCCCCTTGACACTACCATTTGCTTAGAAGCCCCCCCCCCCAAAAAAAAAAAAAAAACAAAAAAACATCTTCCTTTTAAAAGGGCAATACAGGGACTACACTATCATTTATTGCTGGGGGGTTCCTAGGCAAATAGCAGAACCCATGCTCTCCGGGGACCAGACTAGCAGCAGCCGATCGCCCAAGGAGCAGCCCACACCTCGGAGCCCAACCCCCGAAGACCCGCCCTAAACCCTAAGCCCTAAACCCTAAACCCTAAACCCTACACCCTAAACCCCGAAGCCTCCCCATGCTTTTCCCACCGCCAACAACAAGACCAAATAAGTCCGTGAAGCTCGGCTGAAGCCGCCCCCGAAACCATGGGGATTGGGGCTTAGGGTTTAGGGTTTAGGGTTTAGGGAACCCGAGAAATTCTCAAGTTCTTGCAACTCTCAAAGAAGAGACGCTGGCTTCGTTGGTACCTGCTTCGTCAGGTTCTCGGGGCGGGGTCTTTGTTGAAGGCGTCTTTTTGGGGGAGAAGGGAGAACAACTCGAGCTGCTATCTGGGAGGTCTGTTCCGAATAAGAAAATGTGGGGGGGGGGGGGATTGTTGTCACACTCTTCACTACTTGCTTAGGCTTTGCTTACTCTACGGGGCCGTATGTAAGCATCAGTTTCTTGGTAGCCCAGTATCCATATTATGACAAGGGCACCCTTTTTCGGGTTGGTTGTTTTATAAGGCAATCCATAACCCAACAAAAAGGGCAATGGGCTACTAAGGATTTTGAGGGAGGGCAGGCCTGCCATCTACTGCATCTGGGGACGCCACGGGGAAACCATCCTCTCTTATTCAGCCCTGTGGCCTCCTTGTATTTGTTACCCTTCTACCTCAATATAGCCCCTGGATACCCTTATAAGAACCCTAAACAGAGACCCTATTTAAAGAGACCACCACCAAATATAAATCTTCTCCCAATATTTAGTGGACCGTACTTCTGCTCGCCGCCCAAGAAGAAGATGGGCGGCTGTGCTTGCAAAAAACCCTAAACCCTAAACCCTAAACCCTAAACCCGAAACCCCAAAAAGTTGAAAACCCAAAAAAACCAAAAAACCCAAACCCTAAGACCTAAGGAGTATGTGCAACTTCACACAGATTTGAAGGCTGGATGGAGGCCAGCTTTGCTTGGGCTCCGGTGAGGAAATGCAGGTGTCCGCGTACATTCAAACTCGGAGCTTCAGAGTTTATGAGCAACTACATCCCCTGAGGAACTTCTGCGTCCTAAGCTCTTCGTCGGGCTTCTGTCGCACATTTTCCGGTCCTGAAGACAGAGCTACCCCAACCTCTGTCTCAAGGGCGACTGAGCCGAAGGCCATCCGAGTAGGGCGGTGAAGGGGCTGCAATCTCTTGCTCTAACCTGGCAAGACACCGATTTGGGCATTTCCCAGAATCGGGGTACCCCTAGCGTAACCCAAAATGCTACCCGGCAAGACACCGATTTGGGCATTTCCCCACAACAAAGGTACCCCTAACATCCTCATTATTGGAACCCCTCAAAAAGGGATACCCCCCTCCGGGGGGGGTTGGTCCATTTAAGAAAGCAGGGGGCTCGACTGTTAGAGCCTCCTATCTTGGTAGCCCAGGAGCCAGGTTATGATATGAGGGTAGCCCTTGTTGAGGTTGGGTTACTGATTCGAACCCCCAAAAGAACGGATCAAAGGGCACCACTGGGCTACCAAACTCTAATTTAGAACAGGCCCCACATGGGGATTCAGGCTTGGGGGCTCAGAACTGAGAGATTGGAGTGTGCCACCATCCCCAATCAGCATGCACGAGGAAGAACAGTGGAAGAACTATTTAGGGTTTAGGGTTCAGGGTTTAGGGTTTAGGGTTAGAGGAGGAGCGACTTCATTCTCCCTCTCCCACTCAGCACATCGTTGTCGACTGTTTGCAGACTACCGTGCCGCGTTGGCTTCCACGTCATGAAGCTTGATTTTTGACACCTCGAACCCTGAAGTATTGCAAGCTGAGATTCCGGAATCTGAGCAATAAAGCCTAAACCCTAAACCCTAAACCCCAAACCCTAAACCCTAAACCCGTGCGAAGGCATGAAGGCCAGAAAGCCTGAAGAGCCTGACCTCCAAACAGCAGAATTACCCGCCTCTGCAGAAACAAGGACGCCATATCCTCGAAAGCGCGCGCGAAGATCTTCCTTCGTTGGCTAGGAGCTTTGACACGAGCTAACCCTAAACCCTAAACGCTAAACCCGAAACCCTAAACCCTCAATGCACTGCACCACAACTCCCAGGCCTCACGCTATCGTAGTTGAGATTGCGGAGCAGCACGCGGTACATGGCAGTGATGTCCTCCAGCGCGCAGGTCAAGATTAGCCGGCATTTGCCCATTCAGCTCACTGCTGTGGAAAATGATTTCAGCCCATCAAGAGCTGAAGCCACCTGTCATGCCCTCGGACGTCTCTGCTCTGGCACAACTGGCTCACTCTCCCTCACTCTCTCTCTCTCTCTCACTCTCTCTCTCTCTCTCTCACTCTCTTACCTTGCCCTCTGCCATCGAGACTTGTAGCCCCCCCGCTTGCTCAAGTGGCTTTTCTGGTATGGGTCTGCATTAGCCACCTCAGCACATGGATCACACCACCCAAGACCCATTGCTGAAGCCAGCTCTCCTTGACCAGGCCTTCCAGGGCTTCGTGCTCCCTGAGACTGGACCTGACTATCCACCACCTAAACTTGGACCAAAACAATGCTCTTAACATCAGGAATCCTAGACCCCAGACTCCCGAAACTCTAAACCCTAAACCCTAGACCCTGAGAACTTCCCCCCCCCCCCCCCGCCCTACCAGCCCAACTCTTCTGGCGGCTTTCGAAACTACTACTTGCTTCTTCAGAACACCCCCCCCCCCCAGAAAAAAAAAGAAAAGATAATGATCCCTATATAGAAATATATATATATATATATACATATTGCCCTTATAAGGAAGAATGTGTTATTATCATTCTTACTATTACTATTACCAGTATTATTATTAGTATTATTTTCTTGTTTATTTTATTTTACTTTTATTTTTTTTGTTTGGGGGGGGGGGGCGGGGTTCATAAGCAAGTAGTGGGAAAGGAAGGTTGTAGGGCTTAGGTTTCTGTTAAGGCCTGAGGTTGATGTGGGAATTGAGTGGCGGAATCCCTGCTAGCCCTTCGAAGGTTTAGGCGTGTTTTTTGCCAGGGGGTTTAGGGTTTAGGGTTTAGGGTTCAGGATTTAGGGATTGCCGTTTAGGGGACTGATGGACTAACAACTTGCGGGGGGCCCTGCGAGAGATGGGTGCAAAGGGCTTGGGACTTACCCGGAAGTGCTGGGGATTATCCCATGGGCCTGGTGTCCTCTCCCGCCCTACGGGGCTCTCAATTGGCAGGGGATGAAGGAATTAGGTAAGAGTCAGCCCCCTCTATAAACCTCTTTATGGGGTAAGTCCCTCATCCCCTACTAAGAACCAGTACGGAAAGTAAATCCAAGGAGAGGCCGCCGCTCGCTCCGCTGCAGCTTTACGACGGCATCATCGCCCTGAGCATCGCCCGAATCTACTAATTGCTTAAGAACCCCCCCAAAAAACAAAAAAATCTTCCTTATTAAGGGTAACATAGGGAGATTAACATGTTTTTGCTCTTTTGGGATTCTTAAGCAAGTAGTAGGAGTCTTCGGGCTTCGGATGTTGAGGCCTCGTGCCATCCCAAATCCAACCTCACGGCCCAAATGTTTTTTTCGCGCTTCGCCCTAAACCCTACACCCTACACCCTACACCCTACACCCTAAACCCTAGAGGGGTTAAACAAGGGCCTGTAGTATGGGTCCTTGATTTGGAAACCTTATACACTTTACAACCAGGTGAGGGACCATATTGACGGACCATGGAACTACCCTAGATGTCTTGCTCAAAAGCCCAGGAACTCCCTGAACTCCCCTAGGAGAGGTGTTTTGGCAAGTCTTCAACTACCGGCCTCCCTACTACCCTGCTCTGTACTACCCCCCAACGTTTCCTCCTCAGCAAGCTTAGCTACCTTTGCTTCCCCCGGGAGTAGTCGCGCAGAATACTAGTGATGGACTGCGACCCAAACAGCTGTCGCAAGTGTGGGCTATTGCTCTGCACAGGGGGTTCCTCCAAGAGTACTGGCAAGTGGTTCCAAAATCCTGTCCCCCCCAAGACATCATGATGTAAGGATTCCCCTCTTAAAGGGACTCTGGGGCTTGAGAACCCAAAGAGCCAAGCAAGGAACATCGAGTTTCAATCACACTAAGCATCTCTATATATGTTCTCCGGTATAGTCCTTAGTTTAGGGGTACCCAAAGAGCCCAATACACCTTAATTACGCAACATACCTTAAACCATATCAAGGGTCCCATCCCTTAATTAAGGGGTATTGGGCTCTCTGGGTATTGGGCTCTCTGGGTATTGAAGTACAACATGTCCAACAAAACACATCGAAGACCCAAAGCTCACGAACCCTGGAGCTCCTCCTCCCTTCCCAAACAGTAAGCAACAGGATTTAGGGTTAGGGTTTAGGGTTTAGGGCTTAGGGCTTAGGGCTTAGGGCTTGGGTACCTTAAATAAGAGGGGCCGCCTTAAAATAAGGGCCCCAAAAGGACCACAATTTCGAGACATCACCATATGGGGGTCCCCCCAGTAGTGGGATGCCCTTATCGTAACCCCAGAACGGTACCACTAATTTCGGAAACCCCCATATCTGCAAGGGCCTACTTGGAGGTTCATGGTACTCATTCACCAAGTGTAACTGTGCTTCTAACCCACTTATAAGCCCCTTAAGTGCCATAAACTGGTTACAAGTACAGTGATAAGTACAGTTACCCTAAACCCTAAACCCTAAACCCCTGATAAGTACAGGCATAAGTGGTACCTAAGTACCATGGACCTCCAAGTACCTAGCATCGAATCGCCCGCAGCCTTCCAAAGACTCCCGTCGCCCTGTTGGCCGTGGGGTGCCTTCGGCAGGCACAAGTTGATGACGTCGGCTTAGGGTTTTAGGGTTTAGGGTTTACGGTTTAGGGTTTAGGGTTTAGAGTTTAGAGTTTAGGGTTTAGGGTTTAGGGTTTAGGGTTTAGGGTGTAGGGTTTTCGGGTTTAGGGTTTAGGGTTTAGGGTTCAGGGTGTAGGGTTTAGGGTGTAGGGTTTAGGGTTTAGGGTTTGGGGTTTAGGGTTTAGGGTTTAGGGTTTAGGGTTGGCCTAGGGTGGACCTTCAGCACTGTTGCAAGGCTACGAGGTTTAGGGTTGTGAAGACCCTTAGAAATCCGTTGATGGAAGTATCAGGGTGTTCTTTAAATGAGGGTACACTAGGGTTTAGGGTTTAGGGTTTAGGGCTTAGGGTTTAGGGTATACTACGCAGGCTTAGGAGTTAGGGTATGAGATAAAGGACCGCAGATGAACTGATCATCTCCATGGACCTCGACCCTTAGCGGCTTTCGTGTTTTTGGATTCCTTCACCCCAAAACCCTGACCTCAAGCCCTTAAACCCTAAACCCTAAACCCTACAACCCAGAACCCCAAACCTAAGCCCTGAAAAGCCTAAACCCCTGAAACCTAAGCCCATTCCTCGGGTGAGCTGAGGACTCCACGCCAAGCCATTGCTTGGCGTGCTTCTCGTAGGCGTTTTTGAGAAGATCCTTGGGGATCGAGGCGAAGCTTTAGAGGGCTTTAGGGTTTTTGGGTCTAGGGTTTAGGGTTTTTCGGGTTCGGTACTGTGCTTGGAAGCCGTTTTGATGGGGATTATAAGGGGGTTTCTAGGGGATACGAAGTAGAGGGGTATTAGGCTTACAAAGCGGGAAAGCCCAAAGAGCCCGACAAAACCCCTTAATTAAGGAATATTTAAGTTGTAGGGATCCTTAATCTGATTGAAGGTCTATTCCTTGTTAATGAGTCTAAAGGTCTCTCTGGGAGGGTTTGGGATAGCTGCAGTTTTGGAGTGTACCTGCTTAGTAGAGTCTAAAGAGTCCAAAAGGACCTAGTTGTCCAAGTGTGCTTCGGGAACCTAGGGGTAACCTTCGGGATCATGAAAGGGAAAATAACGCTCCAACAAGGTTTAAGGCTACGTACTTTATACTACTAAGATGAATCTTCGGGATTATAAAGGGAAGTAATACCCCAAAAAGTATTGAGGTGTTGCCCACTCTACTACGAAGATGAAGGCTAGAGATCGGGTTTCAAAGTCATGTAATGTAGGGGCCTTACTTTTTAGAACAGGGTTTTGGAGTTATCAATTCTAGTCTAATTGTAAAGGGACCTTAAGGGAATACCATTAGTAATTTTTCCGACCCCTGCACTAGGCGCAAGACGCTGAGCTTCCCAAAGAGGGCCGTCCGGTGTTCGGAGAACTCCTGAGGCTCGCGGACGTAAGCGGGGCGTCCCCCCAAAAAACATGAACGTTGGAGTAGGTCATGTTAAAACAGTAGCAAGGATCCCTTTCTGGCTTGAGGTAGAACGGTAGAAGGATCCCTGTATGGCTTAAGTAGAACTGGTACTTGTCACCCCGGACTTAGGGGGCTTATAAGTAGAATCATTAGGGTTATATGTATCCATGAACCTCCAACTATTGGGATAGCTCCATCGTTGTCGTGCCATGTCGTGCCTAAGCCTGAAATCCTAAAGCCTCGACTCGGCAAGAAAGGCCGTGAATCTGTATTGTTTTGGGTTTAGGGTTCAGGGTTTAGGGTTTAGGCTTCATCATCATCATCATCATCATCAGCAGCATGTTGCGGAGACGTTTTTTATTAAAGAGACCAGCTCGCCTGACATCAGTCAAAGAACAAAAGCACATAAAAAAAACCTTCTCAACTACGTCGTTCTTCCTCGGTTAGTTACATTCGAACATGGTCATGCCAAAGAACACTGGTCCGGGCCCCAAAAACTGACCTGCCTTTGCGAGTGCGAACAGAAACGACAATTCCACAGCGAGAGTCCTAAACAGGTGGGATGATGGACATACCGACGCTGCGCCATGTCCGTAACTGTTGACACATATTGATGCACGACGAAGACCGTAAAAGTCTACAGTCGACTGGAACGAGCACTTACTATGACATCATTATATGATTATGTTATATGGTATCCTGAGACTATGACATTATAACTCTTTTTGTATTGACGGTGACCCCGAACCCGCGCGATCGCCGTAACTATAGACACTTTGACGAAGATGAGACGGTCCGAAATGGACGACACCCACGATCCACGTGAGCGTTGACACTTAGGACAGCCGACGAAGATGCCAGGGTTCAAGATTGACATGCTTTCTAGGATCGCGCCGACAACATGCCGCAAACGCGCAGAGAGCTGCTTCTAGTACTCTTGAACTCAGTTCCAAGAATGGTGACTACGACACGACCCGTGCACTGAGACGGGAGCCGCTTTTGAGATACGAGGCTGCAGAAAACGAGGCCGGCCACAGACACTAAAAGGGTGGCTAACTGTGAGAAGAGAGGGTCCGAATTCAGAAGCGTTAACTTAGTTGCTGAGTTCAGAAGCTCCCAAAAAATGTACACTTTCAGTTCTATAGGGGATTATAGTATCCCAAAAAGTGTAAAGTGCACTTACTCATCAGCTAAGTTTAGGGTTTAGGGCTTAGGGCTTTCCAGGATAGCGAATGACTCCAACACGCCGGGTACCCCGAGTCTGAGAGGGTTACTTCCGCGAGATGCGAGGGTCCAAAAACAATGACCTAAACCTTGAAATTCCCTAAGCTCTCAACCCTAAAAAACACCTTAGCCCTGAACCCTGGATAAACTCTTAAAACTCCTGAAGCTCTCAACCCTTCAAAAAAACCTTATAAGCCCTGAACCCTAGAGGACAGCTTGTCACGATGGAGATGCCAAGTACGAAACGCAACGCTCCTCCCGCCCATAGCCTACTATTTGCTTAAGAACCCCAAAAGAATGAACAATTATAATCCCTATACTACCCTTAGTAAGGAAGAATATTTTTTGGGGGTTCTTAAGCAATTAGTAATAGCACCTCCCACACGTAAACATCATGTCCAGGAGCCCATGCTGGTTGTTTTGTCACAGAATCATCCACGAATCATCAATGAAACATCAACACCGCAGTCCATGCAAAAACCCTAAACCCTAAACCCTGAACCCCGAACCCTGAATCACACTAAACCCTAAACCCTTCGGAACGCGTTGACGACTCAGGCCGAGGTGGAGGCCAACAACTGGTCTAGAGTGCCTAGGCCGAACGATTTCAGGGGGTTTACTTACGGGTTCGGAGTAGGGAATGAGGGAAATGGGCACCCTATTTAATCCTGAAAGGGCATACATATATATATATATATATACTATATATCCCTAAACCCTAAACCCTAAACCCTAGGGGGGATACTGGGTGCCTGATTCCCTCGTTCCCGATGACGAGCCCGCAATTTTAGAGTTCAGGGTTTAGGGATGCATGCGCTGGGGTCAGTGCTGAGGCGATCTTGGAAAGGTCGCTGAGCAGGGCAGCAACCTCTCAGCAGAGGGCATTCAGCTGAAGCTTGAATTCGGGCGCTTCAACGCAGTGGTGGCTAACTGTTGGTGGCGTTTTCTTGAGATGCTCTCGGCAGCCACTGGCCACCTCCCAAACCTGTGAACAGGGCCCACGGAAACTACATGACTGTGCGGGTCTTACTATGACTCTTTTGGGGATGGGGCAAAGTCAGGCGTGACACCTCATGAAGCTCAGAGTCACAGAGACCGTATCACCTGAAACATGAACACCCTATTTGGGTGCAGGGCTTAGGGTTTGGGGTTGAACCCTAAACCCTGAACCCTGCTGGGCATCCGGACCATGGCTCCTCGCGCCTTGTCGTGGGTGCCGCGCGAGATCTCGTTGAGGCGAGCTTGGAGGAGCCTGGCAAGTTGGAGCCTGAGGGGTTGGGGCATGTAAGGTTTTATTTCAAATAATCTCGTGTAAAGTATATGTGGTAGTATTAGAGGTTAGGGCTTCGAGAAACTGAGCTTAGTTGGGGTGGAGATTGCAGGGTTGGTATATACCGGCTTTCGCTGAGGACGCCTGGTTAAGGAGCCCAATATAATTTAAGGTGTATTCCTGAGTTTAGGGGTGTTGGGCTTTCTGGGTCGGTTTAGGGCTTTTGGCTTTTTTACTACTATTTGCTGAAGGACATCCCCGAAAAAAAAGAAAAGATGTTGTTTTTTGGGGAGGGTTCTTCAGCAAGTAGTTGTTTAGAGTCTACCGAAGGCCCTGCAGGGTTTCTACTTGCAGCTCTTTGCGCTCACCTAGGTTGCCCATAACCTAGGATCAAAAAGGGTGCCCTTTTGTGCTCAAAGGTGTTTATAACGGAACCTAAAACTACTATTTGCTTAATTAAGAACCCCATTACCCTTAACAAGGAAGAACATTTTTATGTTTTCGAGTTCTTAAGCAATTGGTAGAACAAGGGAAGAAGGGTACTACCGGGCATCCTAGTCAAAGCTCGCGAGGAGGGCGGCAGAAGTTGCGCAACGACGCCGCAGCCTCGGCCGCATGGAACCCTAAAACAGTCTAGGGTTTAGGGTTTGGGGTTAGGGTTTAGGGTTTAGGGTTAGGGCAAACAAACCCTATTAGGGTTCATAGCAGTTCGGGAAATGAGAGTTTTGAAGGATGTAGAGGCACAGATGTTGAAGGGCTGAGGGTCTGCTTCAGGCGGCTGAGCTGACAAGCGAAGGAGCTTGGATTCAGGGTGGGGGTCATCGAAAGACCCGAAACCCTAAACCGCCTAAACCAAACCGCCTAAACCCTAAGACCCGCTAGCAGTGCGTGCACCTCTTTCTGGCCCGACCTCAGCTCTAGACTCCTAAACCTCCCCAGGCCTCGAACTCTCTGATTCCTGTAGGTTCACAGGCACCGAAAAATCCGAAGCAACGTTGAAGTGCATAATGTTGTGCTCTCCAACACCGAACCCCTGTAGAAGCTCTAAACCCTAAACCCTAAACCAACCCTAAACCCTAAACCCTAAACCCCAAACCCCAAACCCCAAACCCCAAACCCTAAACCCCAAACCCCAAACCCTAAACCCAAAGCCCTAAGAGGGCCCGGCCCCGGCTTCCTCCCAAGGCAAAATCCTGCCACGGATCACAGGGACGCCGTCTAATGACTAATGATCCTAAACCCTAATTAAACCCTAAACCCTATACCCCTTAACCTATAAAAAGGAAATTATAAGGGAGTCTAAGGGAGGATATTACCATACTCCCCCCGATTTCTTGTAAGTGTATGGTCAAGGAAGGGGTATGTTGAATATTTCTTGGACGCCGGGCTCTGGCTGCAG